TGACTGAGATACTTCACTCAGCATAATGTCCTCCAGGGTCACCCATTTTGAATAATATTGCATGAGTTCCTTGTTTTTCAATGCAGTGTAGTATTCCGTTGTGTGAATATACCACAGCTTCTCTATCCATTTGTTTGTTGATGGGCATTTAGGTTGTTTCCAACTCGTTGCTATTGTGAACAAAGCCGTGATAAACATGGGTGTTCATATATCTGCTTGGATGTCAGTTATGGTCTCTTTAGGGTATTTTCCCAGTAGTGGAATTGCTGGATCAAATGGTATCTCTATTTGCAAATTTTTGAGAAAGTGCCATACAGCCTTCCACCGTGGTTGCACCATTTTACACTTCTACCAACAGTGAATAAGGGTTTCAGTTTCTCCACAACCTTGCCAGCATTTGTTGCTTGCTGTTCTGCTAAATTTTGCTATTCTGACTGGGGTGAGATGATATCTCATAGTTGTCTTGATTTGCACTCTCTCAGGGCTAGGGATTTTGAACATTTCTTCATGTTCTTGTTAGCCATCTGGATGTCTTCTTTAGTGAAGTGTCTGTTCACATCCTGTGCCCATTTTTTTATTGGAATATTTACCTTTATCTTGTTGTGGTGCTCAAGTATTTTATAAATTCTGGATTTATAAGTCCCTTATCTGATATCTCATTACCAAATCCTTTTTTCCAGTCTGTGGCTTCCCTTTTTACCCTGTTGGAGAAGTTTTGGATGTGCATAGGGATTTGATTCTTAGAAGGTCCCATTCATCTATTTTAGCTTCTTCTGGTTGTAAATTTTTAGGATACTTGGAAGACTCTTTATGTTGTGGATCAAGACTACAAAAGTTCTTCCAAGCTTTTCTTGAATTAAGTTTATATTCCTTGGTTTTAGTCCTAGGTCCATGATCCACCTTGAGTTGGTTTTTGTATATGGAATGAGGTGTGGATCTTGTTTCATTTTTCTGCAGATAGCTTCTGCTTTTATATTAATGAACTGTTATGTAGCACTTGGGTTTTGGAGGGCAATATTATTTATAGACTTAGTGTTCCTTGATATCAGAACTGTGTACAGAAAAAGCATTCTCTATAATTTATAATGCAAACTGAGCCCTGGTGGTTGTTCAAAGTCTAAATCTCTCATTGTAGCAACAGTCCCCTGGTTCAATCAGTTTTAGAATCACAAGGTTAACAAACACAGAAACATAGCTGTCTTGGGAGAAGATAGCATTTGAACCACCCAGAAAGATCCTGCGAAGGTCCTGGGATCTTAAGAGGTAAGGAGGAAAACAATAGTAGTTTCTCTCTTAGGTACAATATACAGAGCACTTAGCTCAGAGTCTGTCACAAGCTAAAAGAAATAGGGATCCAAAAAAGTTATAAGAGAAACAGTATCCTCAAAGAATTCAGTTAGAAAGCCACTGGTTACAGAAGACTGTGGAATAGAAAGGATATATTCATCAGACTAGGGTCTGGGTTTAAATCTCGGCTCTTTGACTTGGTTTGTAACCTTAGAAAACACATTCATTTGCTTAGTTTCCATTTTCCATCTTCAAAATGGGAATAATAACATCTTTGAAATTTCTTATGGGTGACATATAGGGAAACATAGTAAGTAGATATGCAGTAAATGGTGGTTGCTGTTATTGTTATTAACATTAGAGTGAAAGGAAGAAAAGGTGGACATTACTGAAGAGAATGAAGAAGAAAAGTATGGCACGAGGAAGAAATAGATCAGTGAGACACTGCAATCTCTAATTTCTAAAGCAAATGTATCACCTGTCACCAACTTCACTCGCCTGCTCTCTCCTTCTCCTGGTCACTTACCTTCTATGGCCCCAGCTCTTTGGATACTCAGCAGGGAAGTCAGGATGAAAGCCCCCAGGATGACATCTTTTTTCTGGAACATTTTTCTCTTGAGGGTACACATTGTAAGGTCTGTAATGACCATTCTAGGCACAGAAATAGTGATGAGGAACTGGGGTTGAGTGAAAAGAGCTCTGAAATTACAGAGTTGTCTTACTCTAAATTGACCAAAAGGGGTGGAGAGGAAACATCCTGGCTAGGCTCAACCAATGAGAGAAATTACAGAGCTGACAGTCTATGTTACTAGGTAAACAGAACACTGAAAGGGGCTGGAAAAGAAATGGGAGAAATCTCGAGAGCAAACATGACCCAGGAATCTTCAACTCAGTCTATTAGAAACATTCTCAGAGTTAGAGACTTGAAAAAATATGTCCACAAACATTTTTTCTGACAGCAGTTGTTTTCTGTTATGTTGTGTTATATAATGAATTAATCTTCATATATACCATATTTCCATCATTGATATTCAGATTCTTTTTGAGAATTTTACTCATTATTTTTTCTAAACTATTTTTAAATTATTCTATCACATTTACAAAAATGTTAACATTTATGTATGAACACATTATCTAGCAAGGAATAAAATGAATCTTTCTGTCCACTTGCCTGAAATATTTCTCTTTTTATTTAATTCTTTATGTAAAAGTTTTATTCAATTGGTATGCATAACAGATCATCCGAGACGCTGGGCTGTACGAGGAGGAATGTGGCATCAGGATTGGTGGAAGAGTCATCAACAACCTGCATTATGCAGATGACACAACCCTGCTCGCTGAAAC